TCTTTGAAGACAGGATCTTCCTCATTGCTCAAGGTGGGTTCCAACCTGGGATAGTACTCCTGCCTCAGCCTCCCAGAGTTTTTCATTTCTGTAGTTGAATGACTCAGATTCTTTGGGTGGTGACACATAAAAAGAAATTAATTTTGTACCCCAACTTAGTACATATATTGATATTTGTATGAAATGAAAGCTAACTCCTCGGATAGAACAATGTGTATTCCATGGAAGGCACTGGCAGTTTCTGTTCAGTTCTACTTCACTTCAAGATGAAGGAAAAGTTGGGGTGTGACTCAGTTGGAGAACCCTTACCTGGCCCTGGCTGGGTTCAGTCCCCAGCACCAGGAAAAACAAAAACGCTTCCTGTAAGTCATTGTGGGATTGAAACTCATAGCTTAAAGAATATTGCCTCCATACTTAGTCATATGGTGACATTTCCTGAGAATCACCAGTCCCCTTCGATGCTTTTTATTGTCCTTTGCCTGTTTTTTGCATAAGATCTAAAATTGCCCCCAAGTCTCCTGTGTTCAGAAGGCTGTTGATTATGGGTGTTGACAGCTGACCTGCTCTGAGGAGGTGGGGTCTGGTTGGAAAGGGCAGGTCACTGTGGGTGTGACCCGGAACTCTGTATCTGCCTTCCTTCTCCCCTAGCTCTGCTTCCTGGCTGCTGTGAGAACGGCTTTTCCTTCGCCATGCCCCTGTGCCGCTTTCTTTGGAGCCAGCCATTTGTGGGCTGAAACTCCTAAGAGCATGAGCCAAAATAAACCTCTCTTCTTTTAAGTTGCAGTTGTTAGGTGTTTTGTCCCTGCAACAAGGACATTGACTGAGACGCCTGACACCTTCTGGCCCAACATGAGCGCTGGGCATCTTTCCTGGCTTCTGGTACTTTCCTGTGCTCCCAGTTCCCTGCCGTGGCTCTGAGCTTCGATGAGACGCTCAGTGTGCGCAGCTTTGCTGTTACCTCCCTCTATGTGGGGGAAAGATCAGGGCCATGGGGTCACGGGGGAGCAGTAACATTCGGATTAGGGAGTGGCCTTAATCTCTACTCCTTCCCAGAGCCAAAGAGTCTGTGCGATCCTCTGAGTAGATGGGTTCTTCTGGAAATTAAGTCCCATTTATTTTGCCAGAGTGACTAAGTTTGGCGTCCACTCCGGTGCTGGCTCCTCTGACCACTGCAGAGTCTGAGAGAAGGACCCAGGAGCCCCAGTAGGGTCTCAGTGGAGCTGTAGCAGCACGCCTGGAAGTGGATGTGATGTAACGTCATCTCCTTTCTCGTTTAAGGGAGTATCATTGGGCTAAAGGGGAGGGAAGAGTGCAAGTAATCAATCAGCATTTAGTGTGCAGTTCCTAAGGGAGGTAGTACCTGAGTTGCACGGGCATTTGACTTTCTCAGTAGTAGAATATGGACTTCTGCTTCACCCTGTGTGACATTTCAGAGGCTCTGTTGCATACTGTCATTTTACTTTGAGTAAGTATTTGATGGTTCGTCAGAAGTATGATTTACAAACCTGCATGCCCTCACCCTAGAGAACAATAGAACAACTAAAAGTTGGAATTCACAGCCCCTTTCCACTTAAAGAAAAATGCCAGTACTCACTGTATGTGTTGAAATCCATTCGGTATTTGTAGTTAACATGAGGCTTAATGGAAATGATTTCCTAATGTGAATGAATGGCAATTGATTTGATTAATGTGTCTGTGTAATATTGTTATTACACATTGTAAACATCAATACTGTGGCAGGATGTCCTTATAAAGCTGTGATGACCTCAGATGCCATCCTTGCAGGCTCTGGGCAGGATCCTTCCACAGGTATCCAAGGTGACCTGTTCCTGTGCCTACTGTGATACAAAGGCCCCCAAGAGTTTCTTATCCCCTATTATATCTTCTGCAGCTGAAAACATTTGTAAAAATTGGGAGAGAGGTCTTCACTCAAATATCTTATTGCCTGTACTTTCTGTACTTTGGGCAATCTTGGGCATTTCAAAACTTAGGTTTCTCAACCAAAGACATCTTCCACTGACTGATGGAAGGTTGATTTAAGCTCTTTCACTTGAGCCATGTGCTGTTTGGGGCTTTATCCCCATTTTTTAAATTTATTTATTTATTTATTGTATATTTTAGGGAAGGGTCTACAAGGCGTTCAGGGTCTCACTACTAGATCAGACTCCTAGTGATGGGCCTGTTTACAGCCTCCCAAGAGCTGAGATTACAAGCATGCTTCACCACAATCAGTTTCAATTGTCGTCTCAGCTGGCCCCTGTGCCTGCTTGCAGGCACTTTAATCCAGAGAGCTATTTGACTGGCTCTATCCCTATTTTATTTAAAAACTGATTTTATTTCTATTTCCCTTGATACAAACTAGTAAGAGCCTCACACTTTTAACCATGAAGTTCCTTTGTCTTTGGCTGGTTTAGGAGTTGTCTTTTCAGTGTGATAAAGAAATTGATAAGATAGGGTCAGGTTCATGGCTTCAGAGTGCCTCCAGGAATTCAGTAAACTTTTTTCTTGAGGAAAGGAGCAGGTACCTTCAGAAATGGCAGCGTGGAACATGACAGACCAGCAAACACTTGAACAGGACCCCCCCCCCAAAGTTGTTAGAGTCTCTGTGCTGACCTTAGAAGCCCCACTCATCCTCAGTGGGAGCCAGAGTCCAGGAGAGCCAGGAACTGGTGCATTCCCGCCTTCCTGCCACTGACAGGAGACTTTCCTGTCAGGAAAGTAGGTGCAGTAACTGGGCCTGCCTCTCATAGTTGCTGCAAGGACAGAGCTTGGGCACAGAGCCTGAGTATGAGCGCGTGGAAGTGGAGTGTTCTCCTTGGCATTTTGAGGGCACCTGTCTTAGGTTTCTGGGCAGAGCTGAACTGTTGTTTCAGTTCGGAACTGTGATAGCTCCCTAACAGAACTATATGGGCCTGCACATGTTCTGTGAAGTTTTGCAGAAAAGCATTTTGTTTCGTGATTCCTGAGTAGCTTTGCAGCTGTCAGGCTGTGGAGCAGAGCTTGGAGTATTGGTGTCTCCAGACGATTGAGTCCTGTGTCCTCCTCCTGCGTGGCCCTTAGCAGTAGCAGGAGGATGAGGGTGAACTTGGGGAGAGGGGACAAGCGGCCATGCCCGTCTGCTTACGGTAGCTAGACACACAGTTCCTCACTAATTTTCAATCAGTTTCCACCTCTTTGGGGATGGTACAGGAAACTGACATTATATAAGATAAATAATAGGAAACAGGGTGGGAGCTCTTTTACAAATAGGAAGGGGGAGGTAAAAAGAATTGAGATGCCACGTATGGTGCCAATTCCTCATGAGAAGTGTAATCATGAATACTTCAAAAATACACTGAAAATGTTTTAAAAGTTTAAAAAAAATTTAAGGGCAGTGACAGTAAAAATCAGCCAGAGGATGAATGATCAAGCTCCCTAGCTCCTTCTATGACTGTCCTCCGTGTGAGTCCCGGGGCAGTGTGGACTACCTCTGAGGTGGACAGCAAAGTCGTCATTACTTTCCAGGCCTTCTGATAACTGCTGCTTCCTGTAGGACACTCAGAACTTGGTGACACTTTCCGTGCACTCTTCCTGAGGCATCCCTATACTAGGGTATGGCAAATAGAGCTGAGAAAATGAAAGAACTGAAGTCTTCTCAAGGGGTGTGCACACCCGGCCAGGGCTTTAACTTGTCGTTTTCCTTCATGCATCATTTAGAGGGGAGAGATGGCTCTAGTTATCAAATCTTTTAAACTATCTCAGGGGAAACACCTAAGGCTCATGGAAATCATTTCATTAAATTTTGTTTGTATTAACCTGTTGCTTCTCTACATGGAAGAAGAGGAAGTTGAAAAGTAATTTCTATAAATTAGCAGATTTCTCAGTGAACCAGCAGAGTGAAAAGATGAGCCCAGGGTTTGAAGTGAGGGATCTGTACTCTGGGGCTTGTCTTCCACTCACTATGGGGTGAGCTTGATCACATGTAAAGGACTTCAGAGCATTTGTGCATTTGAAGATGCCCAAGCAGTGGCACGTGTCAGTCCACCCAGGCCTCAGCTCATCTGAGCACTCAGGGCCTTGCTGTGAGCATGATAACCACAGGACATGGTGTCCGCGTATCTGCCATCTCCCCGATCTGGGTTAGAACCTCCAGGTGTCTCAGAAGGGCCCAGTGAGCACCTTCCAGGGAGTTCCTCTGGGTGGCGGAGGGAAAAAGCAAAGCGTGTGGAGTGTCCAGAACTTACAGGAGCTACTACTTACAAGTGCGTTATCAAGCAGTGTACCTCATGGATGGAAGAGGCTTTTGATTTTATCATCTGCAGTTTGTAAGATTTATTAGTCACTAAGTTCCATACTCCCTTGCTAGACTCTCAGCTGCCGGGAGGCTCTTAGTTTGTAATATGTGATAAATAAATACCTGTTTAAGATGTTTCTGTACTGTCTTCTCTGCCGTTGTTTTTAATTTTAGTTTATTAGTACAAGTGCACGGTATATATGGAGTGATGGGATCTGCACTGTGGGGCTTGTCTTCAGCTATCTGTGGGAAAAGTTACAATACAATTTTTACCTTTCTTGTGGGAAGTTGGTACCTGTGCCTGATACATCTTGGTAACTCTTTTTCATCTCCTTTTCCTTCCTTCCTTGGACACTCTCCGTCTTCTTTTTATACCAGGCCCAGCTTTACCCCTAAAACCTCAGCAGCCTCACAGGTCCTTCCTGACTGCCTGCCTGACCAACCACGCGCTCCCCACCCTCAGACACGAGTCCTTACCACCCTGCTTGGCAGCAAGCATTAACTAGTCTCAGCCAACTGAAGGTCCTGTGCACGGATTTTCCAGCTCCCAGGTCTCCTGGAGATGCCTCTCTGTGCTTCATCTTGGCCCTGTGCCTTCAGCTTTCCTGCTGCATCTAGTGGCAGGCCCTGGGCCTCTGTCTCATTGTGTAATGAAATTTATTTTTTGAAGAAAAACTAACACACTCAGCAAACAGATGACGATGTTAACTCTTTGCTCTCTTCACAGACACGAGACGACTTCCTGGGCCAGGTGGACGTGCCCCTTAGTCACCTTCCGGTAAGGACAGTTACATGCTTTGTGTCACAGCTGTGGGGAGTGGTTTCCTACCGTTGCCAGCTGATGGACTTGTAAGGTGGAGTGGCTGGATGAGGAGCACGTGCCGAGGCCCTTGCTCCTTGCTCAAGAATGATCCTTTCAAGGAAGAGAGTGAGAGATATCTGGATCCCATAGGCTGTTCTAGTTGTGCCAACATCCCCAGCTCCCACCTTCTCCAATCCTATAGCGCCTCTGCCTTTGCCTGCCATACCTTAGGAATGACCCTGTCCTTTGTCAAGCCCCGTTGATGGCTCTACTCCCAAATTCATCTTCAGAGTCTAGTTTGATGCCTTCCCCTCTGTCTAGTAGTGTGCATGCTTGCTTCTCATGGACACCATGCTGGTGTTTCCCAGATTTGAGTGTGTGGCTTTCTCAGCATAGAGACAAAAAAGACAACATTATTCATGTTCATTGACCTGCTCCTGTTCATGTCTGCTTAGACAAGCAAAACAGCTAGGGCTGTCGACTGCTGAATGTGGCATCACCCGCAACCTGAGGCAGCGAGTAGGGGGTGGGAATAAGACCTGGAGCCCTAGGTGGAAGCAGCTTATCTCATATTGTGGCCCCAGTTTTCTGAGCTGTCTTCCCCTGAGCAGCACAGATGCTCAGAGCCGAAGTAGTAGCTGAGAGAGGAGAGTCAAATATTTCTGCCTTACAAGGGCATTGTGTTTTTTAAATGCTTTTGTGTGGGTGTGAAACATAAATAGTCCATAAACTAAAATGACTTGTACCACCTAGTGCAGCCTTCCTGCTGTAAACCGTGGCTGTCCCCGTATGTTACATACTGAGACTTCGTCTTCCCAGGCAAGCTTTGAGGATATACTGGAATGGGAAGGCAAGCAATTTATTCCTACTCAGGGGAGCTATTAAGGAAAAAAGGTTTCAAGAGCATTCCCTTTCAAGAAATGGAAAGGAAGAGTGATAGCTTTAAAATATTTTGTTTCTATATAAAAACCTGAAACGTAAAGGTGGCTTGAGAAGAGAGAGAGAGAGAGAGAGAGAGAGAGAGAGAGAGAGAGAGAGTGTACATGCGTGTGTGCATGGCATTTTTGCATGAGATTGATTTTAAAGGCTGTCAGAAGTCCAGTTAGCTTTTTTCAGGTCCCATCGAGAGCATGTGAATGTCTCAGTATCTGTTAGGAAGACTCTTCCTGTCTTTGCATACCGGTAGATCTTCTCTTTATGCTCTGTGGGTCAAAGCTGTAGTTCCTTGGTTGGCCATCTGTTCATGGCTATCTCCAGCAGTGCTTTTCCCTGAAAGCCGTATCTTGGCCGGGGGGGGTGGTTATTTATTAATCCTTCCTAAGAAAATTAAGTGCAAGTTTTGCCAACTTGCTCTAAGAAGGCCTTGTTGGAGTGATTTAGTAATGATTGGGTTTGAAAGACTGGGCATAGAGCCCAGAGAATTGAAGGAGAGGCCACGTCAGTAGCAGGAATGGCTCACCTTCGATTTTGGTGGAGGCAGGTGTGGGCTTTCCAAGTGCTGAGGCTCAGGCTTAGAAGTGAAGCCAGCAGATTAAGGAGATGAAACAAAGACCACCTAGAGAGGACCGATTCCTCAAATATAACCAAGTCAGTGAAACAGTGGGTCCTCCCCAAAAGTAGTCTTCATTGGTACACCATAATCCGTGTGCTTCAAAGGGACTAGTTTTTAAGCCAACTCCCTTTTTAGGGAGATGGACCATAAATGAAACAAAAGGAATGGATGAAGGTAAATTATTATTTATATGATAGTAGAACCCAGATAGTGTATTTTGAATGGGCATGGCGTTTGGCCCCAGAATTTGAGGTGCTATTATATGCCTCTGTGATTTTATGTTGGGCACTCCCCTGAAAATTGCGTAGTGCCAATCATTTTGTGTGATTATGCACAAATGTGAAACTGTGAAGTCAGTGGAAACATTTGAGTATGTTTGATAGAGTGAATAATGGACGGTCATTTCATGGTAGTATAACAGCCATTGTGAGGTCATACATGGCCTACAGATTCAGTATATCAGAATCTCCAAAATTCAAGTAAGAAACTTCAGAAGGTGAAGATAGTAACCAGTTGTCTTCTTAGTAATGAGAAACCACTGGAGAACAGGACTGTGGTGGTAACTTTGCCCCTCCAACCCACCCATGCCTTTTTAGGAATATATGAATCTGATGGGGGGGTATGATTAGCAAATGATTTTTATAAGGGCCTGTCCTCTGCTAGAGAGTGCATTCATTCAGGACAGACTTATTGGTGGAGAGGATTCTGGTGTTTGAGGATGCATTAGTAGGGCCAGTCCCTACCTCATGTCCAGGTGCCACTATTACTGGAATCACAGGTAGCACCTTAGCGTCTGGAATGTGGTTAATGTGACGGAGAAGCTGAACTTATCATTCTGTCTTAAGTAAAATTTAAACTTCAGTCAGATGTGGCCAGTGACTACTACATTGGATGGCATGTGTGAAAATCAGACCAGGGTACTCTAGTCAAAAATGCTTGATTCTAGATAAATAGGATGATATCCACCTCTAATCCTGCACTCTGGGAAGTTGAGGCAGGAGGATCTTAAGTTAGAGCTCTTTCAGGGCAACTTAGTAACTTAGCAAGACCCTGTCTTAAGATACAAAAGCGACACAGTACAGGGGGCCCAGGCTCAATCCCCAGTAATGATGTGGGGAAAAAATGTGATTCTGTTATCTCAGATAATTCTGTTGGGAAAAACTGTAGGTGACACAGTTGCCCAATCTCCCTGTGTTCCTTAGCATATTTTCATGCTTTTTCCTTCATTTAGTGCTCACTTGGGGCTGTTTCTCTCTCCTTCTACCCATGTAACATACTAAAAATATTTAGTTTAGGTAAGAAAAAACCTCCAATTTTGAGGCACAGACATAAAAAGAATATCGTAGTTTCTTTTCTCTTTGCTGAGACAAAATACCCAACGCTCAACATTAAGGGAGGAAAGGTCTGTCTATCTCACAGTTTCTGGAGATTTCAGTCCGTGTTGAGCTGGCTCTAAGGCAGGGTGGCACAAGACAGAGGGGCAACCATCCATGGTTGGGAAAGACAGCAGAAGCAAGCAAGGGCAAGAAACGAGGCTTTCTGTCCCGACGCACCCGCCCTACGGTGAGGTAGCACTCACTCCTTAATCCTAGCACTGGACCATGAATCAGTCGCAAGCTCTAGGTTCAGCCACCTCTGAAAAGCCTGCCCCCACCCCCGGATGACTGCTTGAGGCTTTGAGGGCACATCTAGACATAAACTATAATGGAGAATTTTTCTGTTGATATTTTCCAAATCGCTAGTAGAAAAACACCCAGTTGCCCATTCTTCCATGTTGACATAGATACCATCTATTTCGAGGCATCCCAAAGTAGGAATGAGGCATTATCTTGTTGCCAAAAATATTACAAACCTTTATTCATTCAAGCAAAACCACTGTCGGCCTTGCTTCTGGCCTGCAGATATTGCCAGTGTTGAATGAAGCTCTTATCTAAATCAGAAACTTGATGGACAAAAATCAAGGCAGCAGAAAGGAACTTAGTATACACTGCTGACTGCTAGAAAATTGAAGAATTTAAACATTCTATCTTATGTGTTTTGAAAAAGAAATACTGTTGCCCTCCGGACATCTACTGAAGAACTTTTCCTCACCGGACCTGTCGCTGCAGTTGCCAGTGGATATTGGTGTTTGCAATATAAAACTTTGCTTTCAGATTCTTAGACTCCACTCTCCTAGGACATCCCCATCTGCAGCCATAGATTCTCTGGCCCAGGGAAGCCTCCAGGCTGACTACAGGGTCTCCTGCACGCCTCTCTTGCAAGTGGCCCAGTGAGCAGCACAGCCCTAGGTGGAGAGAGGCTCTCTCTGGCAGCATAAGCAGTGGAGCTGGCCCTTACATTCTTCTGTCACTGGTGCCAAGAGTTAGGCACCTGGATTAATTAAATGCTGTGCTGGGCCTTGTAGGCCATTATGTGCAAGTCCAAGTTGGTGCTCTGCCAGGGCAATGAGGAGAAAGAGGAGGAGGAGGCAGCTGGGAGTGGAGGGGGCAGGGAGGGTCATCAGAGCTGGGCACTCTGCATGCAAGCGAATGCCTCAGTACCGGCTGCAGTGCCCGGTGTCATTATCCCTGAGCCGGAAGGGAGGGAAGGAGGGATAATAAAAACAGATCAACTTCTTTTCCCTCTCTGATCATAGGTTCCTCAGTGCTTCCTACTTATCAGATGCTTCCAAAGGAAAGAAAATAATTTTAGAATTACGGTTCAGTTTCCTTCCTGGTGGTGCGATTCACTCCTCCCCATTTTATTTGCAGGGGAAAAAAAAAGATTGGAAATAAGATGCAAGTTGTCTAGAATAGTAGGGACCTCTGTTTCCTTCGCTTCTATTCTGGGTGGTTTGCTTATCTTTAATATTTCTTCTCTGTTTTATTGCACTTTGACAGGAGGAGGGAAGGGAAGAGAGAACAAGTAGGGTGAGTGAGCCGACCCTTTCTACAGGGCAGGGAAGTAAGGAAGCACAGGTCCACACTCTAGAAAGTCTCCAGAGGTTGGGCTTGAAAAGGTAGGACTCTGTCAGGCGTTGTTGGCTTCCATCTCAAAAGACAAAAGTTGCCTGAGTGACCTTAACTAAGTTAGTATTCCTTTCCGCGCCTCTGTTTTCCTGTAACATGAGGGTGCTTGCCTAGACAGGGCCGACTTTCCATCCAGCTCTGGGATAGAGCTGCGGAGCTGTTCCAGCGTTCTCTGACCGGAGGCTCCATGGCTGTTATGACATTTGTGTTGCCTAGGAGATGCTGGCAGCTGAGCACCAGCAGGAGGCGTGTGGAGGGGATGGCAGGCTGTAATTGAGGAAGGTCCTGTTCCCCGACCAGCCTGCGCCTGGGCTGCAGGTTAGATGCGGCCACTGCCATCTTCTCCACCAGCCGCAGGAGCAGCCTCAGCTGTGGCTGCGTGTGATCATTGGTCATTTTACACTACCATCTGCACATCTGCCTACTGCGCTTGGTCCATGTAGCATGTTTGATAATTTATATCTAATTATTTTGGGATAAAAACTAATTACAAGAATAACAACATACTTCTCAACTACGAGAAGAAACTCTGACAGGCATTTGCCTGTTGCACCTTGGGGCCCTTTCCTGGCTCTTTTTACTCTCTCGTGTCTGCCCTTCCCATAGAGAGAGCCCCGATGCTTCTACCTGGCCCAGCTCCAAGACTTCTGCACCCTTCGATAGTGCACTGAGGCAGGGAGAGCTACTTTTAAAATGTTAGTGTTTTTCCATCTCAGTCCAAAGTGCTGTAAAGTGATACCTGTCTATAGCTTAGGCATACTGAGGTGGCCAGCATTCTTTCAGCCTTCGTAGGTTTATGGCTGGGGGCAGGACAGTGGTGTCTTCTTGGGTGGAGAGCCAAGGTCATGGCGTTTGCTTAGAGTTTAAAGGCGTTTGTCTGGCTCTGGGCGCATTTTCCAGCTAAGGAGATAGCAGTGTAGAGAAGTACCTGATTAGTCCAGTGGTCCGCAAGTGGTCAGTCCTACCCTCATTTCCATACAAACTTTCCAGCTCTCTGTCTCTTGTTGCATGACATGGAGTTGGCAGTTGTCACATAATATGAAAATGTAGATTTGGCCAGTGATGAAAATGGCCACATTTGTTAGGTGTGCCAAATACCCTTGGGATTGGTACCATATTATTGGCTTTTCCTCCCAGCAACTCTATAAAATCCAATTGCTAGGGCTGGGGGTGCAGTGCCACAGTAGGGCACTTGCCTCTCATGCATGAGGCCCAGGGCTTAGTTTCCAGGATTGTACCACTCACCCACAAAGCATTCTGGTCCTCAAGTCAAAATTAGTCATTTTCCTCCTATGCGATATCAGTGAATTCATCTGCCACGCAGCCCGGTGACCTGTTGGTGACCTCCCACAGCATTATAACACTGAGGCAGGTACTATGTCATCTCCATGGTGTTGATAAAGAGCTGTTTTTTTAATCAAGCAAATGAAAACAAGGACGAGATGCTGGAAATTATATTAATTACAAAATTTTCCATAATACGTGATGTACATTGGGAAACTTTTTAAATAGCAGATATTCCCAAATTTCCAAGTTTGACTTACTGCCTTAGCAATAAATAAATCCTGAGAATATAGTAGATTTTTTTCAGTGCTACAAAGTTTTCAGTACCTTGTTAATTTCTGTAAATCAAATGAATTTATCAACTACTTATCTTTGTGCCACTTAGCATCAGGCAATATTCTTGGCAGCAGCAAAACATTATGAGCAAATCCAAGTCTCTGATGTCACAGGCTTACATCCTAGAAATGATGGATGATAAACTAGTGTATAAGTAAACGAATAAGATAATCTCAGATAGTGATAAAGGAAGATAAAGAACAGTGCTATGCTAGCGTGATGAATGAAGGTTCACGGTGACAGCTTAGTACGGGAATTCTGCTGGCAAGATGCAAAGTGGGGATGGATAACCACGCTGTGTGCAGCCAGCTGCCCAGCACTGGGTTCGGCTGATCTGTGGGTCTCCAGCAGGCTTTGACGTGTCGCTCATGGAACAGATGAAGCCAGAAATATGGGAGTATTCTGGAGAATCCAAAGGAGATCAGTTTACAGAGAGGTGAAGGGTGCTGAAAAGCCAGGTTGTAAACCTTGTGGATCCCAGGAAGGAATTTCCCTTTTATTCTAAGAGGAATAAGAAGCCAGTGGAAGGTAGAAGCAAGGCCTAAGGTAATGAACGTTTCAAATGTGATACAGTGACTAACTCAGTGTAGTATGGTCTGTCTCTTTCTATAAAAGTTAAGCACTTTAAGTTGCATTCATTTGAAGAGTACTATGAGTTGCATTCATAGAAGCTGTACTATGTATAGTATCTTAAAAATAATAGTAACACTTACATTTCTAGCTTCTTGCTTTGTTGGGCCATCCAGCTTTGTACAGTAAATGAAGACTGATTTCTTTTACGTGAACAAAGATCCCAGTTTCACGAGATGAGCCCCCATAGAGTAGTCGATAGTACTTCCTGGGCAATCTCTGTACAGCAGATATGTTATTTTATTTAGGTTAATGGCAATATTTTAATGTGAGAAATAAAGTTGCCTTTATTTCTAAACTAGATATTGGGGGTTCCGTTGACTCCTGGTTTAGATTTCTGAAGTCACGGAATATCAAGGCACCAGTGGCCCCTGGTCCTCCAATGCTAATCAGTTCCATGAGACTGAGGCCGCACCCTGCAGTTAGAAAATTACACTTGGCAGGGACAACTATAATTTTGTCATTTGTCTGTGGCTAGGGTTGGCTCCTAAAACCTGATGTGGACAGTGACACCTAGTGGATCTTAAGTAGACAGAGCCCCACAGCCTATCAGATGTTTAATTAATCATCCAGAGCGATCAAAGAACCAACTCCATTTTTACCTTTGCCACGCTGTGAAATACATCAGTGTATCCCTTAGGATCTGGGTAGGCATTTCTAAAATACAAAATTGCCAGGAATGTGGAGACCTAATTTACTTTTCCTTTCCATAGACAGAAGACCCCACCATGGAGCGACCTTATACATTTAAGGACTTTCTCCTCCGACCAAGAAGGTAAGACATGAGAGGGAGGACACAGTGGAGGAGGCATCCTGCAAATTTCAGTATTGGTTTTTCTGAGGATTGTGTCATCAGTTGCCATAAAAAGGCCGCATATAAGCAAGTCAGATCCTTTGTAACTGATTTCTTTCTTTGTGCAGTCATAAATCTCGAGTTAAGGGATTTTTGCGGTTGAAAATGGCCTACATGCCCAAGAATGGAGGACAGGATGAAGAAAACAGCGAGCAGAGAGATGACATGGAGGTGGGTGGACAGCTGCAGGCCTAGGCCTGGGTTTCTGGCTAAGTCCTCACTCATATTCCACTGTGAGGCTTCTCATTAAAGGAAGTTGAAAGAGTTTGTAAAGTTAAATATGAAAAGACATTGTCCCTGAATGTGTCTTTGATAGTCTACCAATGTGTTTGTTTTAGTTTAAAAGTTTAGTTTTTCATTTTAGGCTGCAACACTAATAATTAGGAAGACTGCTCCTTAGACAGCGCAGCAGTGTCTTGTATCAGCAGCCCCACCACCCACGGAGTTATCCTCATGGCCTGAGGCTGTGTCTGCCTTGGACTTGCAGCAGCTCCGCAAGAGTGTCCTGTAGCACTTAAAATTGCTTCAGAGTAGATATGCTCATTGAGAAAATCTCTCCCTGTTTCTGAGTTGCTTGATCCCCAGGTGATAGCATGCTTAGAACAGCACCCTTCTGGAAAGGCCACCTTGGAGTTAGCTGGTCAGAATTTCTTTTTTGTCCGCCTGGAACAGCAGCCTTTTAGTTTTCTTGTCGCATACCTGTGCTGTGGGTCTTGTTAAACCTTCACAGCACATGCTGAGACAGCACTTCTTAAAAGCCACATTCTCTTACTGTTCAGAGAGCATCTGTTGAACAAGGCCCCTCTGTGGCTGTCCTCACATCCGTTTGCAGCTGTTGCATGTATGTGATATGTGAATAATGTGTTGTGGGCAACTTTACCAAACCCCTCCAACCAGGAGGCCACTGTTCCAGGCAGTGTCCACTCTGGGCTCTCGGCTCTGCTCATGTGACAAGGACTGAAGTGGGTGGCAGGCCATTGTCGAGGCTGAGATTTTATGAGCACAGCAACAGATTTTATGTCAAATCCAAGAAATTTTTTACACTCATCTTGCCTTCCAAATGCAGTAACCAGTGAATTACTTAATTTTCCAGTGACTTTAGTAGGGGATGTTAGAAAACCAATACTTAATGCCTGAAGTATGCATTGTAAAATGTAACTCTAACCCTGGTACTGTGGAGCCTGTTTGTCTGCAGAGGCTAAGTAGCAGTGGCAACAGCTTCCAGACTTCTTCTGGCCCATGGGATCACAGCAGACCCATGGAGGCTTTACCTCCTCGGCATTCCATCCTCAGGGTCATCCTGTGTGGACACGAGCAAATTCTGAGGCCCCCTCCACGCAGACCACGCTCTCTGTCAGAGCACTTGTGCACGATGCACCTTTCCCTTGTGAGACGTTGATGGGGTGACGGCTGTGAGGTGGCCCATGTTGTTGACACAGCTTTCTATAGCTCTGAAGGCCCTCATATCAGAAGGACAACACTAGATAGGGAAGAATATAATGAGTCTTAAGTCCCTTCACCAACTCCATACCCAAACCCGCAAAGCTTCCCACCATATAGTCCTCCTTAGTAAGTGGTATAATTAACTGGCCATTACTGAAAAGATTTTTGAGGCCTGAAAGTGTTCGCTTACCCTTTTGGGGGATCCTATTCCATTGTGGCACAGGAAGCAATTGCAGGAGCCCAGGAGAGCATGACAGAGCACCACAGAAGGAAGGCAGACCACATTGTCCTTGTCTCTGCCCTCAGCCTTCCAAATCACCCCCATGACCTTCCACTTCGTTTTATTCCACAGCATGGGTGGGAAGTTGTAGACTCCAACGACTCAGCTTCTCAGCATCAGGAGGAGCTTCCTCCTCCACCTCTGCCCCCAGGCTGGGAAGAGAAAGTGGACAACTTAGGCCGAACGTACTATGTCAACCACAACAACCGGACCACGCAGTGGCACCGACCGAGCTTAATGTGAGTATCCCAGCATGAGGGGCACCTGTGAGCTCTGCAGTCAGGCACGAGCTCCAGGAGCTCTGGGACAGCCTGGGAAGGACATGTGGCATGAGCACAGCAGGTGGTTCCTCTTCTGTGGGGTATGGTGTGAGAATAGTCAGAACCTGTGTATTGGCAGGGAGAGGCATAGCCCTGGTACCTCCACCTGCTGTCGTGTACAGGATGAACTGCATTGTTCCATATATCTTATTCATATAGGTTTGATTTATTTATTAATTTTGTGCAGTGCCAGGGATTGAACTCGGAGCCTTGCACTTACAAGGCAGACACTTATGCCGCTATGCTGAGCTATCTCCCTGGCCCTTCACATGGATTTCCGACCTATTTTGTGTTTATTACATAGCTCTCTTCCCTTTCAGACTTCTTTCCTGACTGACCCAGCATAGAAAATAGCAACCAGAATTGCCTTTTCCAGTTTCTGTCTTCTTTGTGTTTCTGAATATCTTTTTCTTTTAATTATTGAATTTATAAACCCTCTCAAAAGATCTTTTTTTCCTTTTGGGGAAATTTATATATTATCCCCTTGATATCATTAGAAACACATAGGAGGTTTGCAAAGTCAGAATTCGTAATTACTATTTATTTTAATTGTCCACCATCCTCAGAGATGCAGTGAGCCAGGTACTGTTTTTTCTCTCCAGCAAATAAATCCCAGTCAAACCTCAGCTTCTATTAAAAACGGTTTCAAAGCAGCTTGCTGTTAAATCATTGTATAGCTAGATCAAATCTACTAGTACAGTAAAAGACAAAACCAAAGTACTAAGAAAATATCATCCTAGAAACTATAAATTTCTAGTTTCCTAGTAGCCAAGACAAGGAGAGAAATTATCATTTATACATCATATATTATCATATAATTTTTAATATGTAATAAAGGTAAGTATAGTAGAGATAATTTTCTCTTCAATCTGAATGGAGAAAAATTTACTAATGATGCACTTTAAACAGTGTTAGCAGTATGCTGGAAAGTGCTCTTACAAAACCCATTATCCTCAGAAATTGCAAAGATATTCCACATATGACTGGATGGGCAAAGTGGCCAAGTCAGTGGCACTGGGTTTTTTTTTAACGTGAACATAAGGCCTGTAGACTCTGGAGCAATGAATTGCTGAGCTTCCCTCAGCCCTTCTTGTGGCCGTGAGCTATCCTTGTTCATTTCAGACCATCTAGTGTGGCTGTCTCGACCCCCAGGAAAGCATAAGTATCAGGACATTGAGGTAATAAATATACACGGAAGTGGTTTAATTGATACTTTTCTTATGTTTTATTGTTACCCTTTTATTAGTGATCACAGCTGTTAACAGTGTGGTAAGCTGTTTTGACTACGCTAGCTGTTTTTCATAAAAATGGCTTTGGATCTCCTTGGGCTTGAGGGCACATTTACTGGGAAGAATCGTGGCAGAAGAAGTACCTAGAAAGGCCCTCTACTTAGAGTGTCAGGTGGTCTCTGTGGAAAGGCAAACAGGAGCAGGTCACAAGAGAAGAAACACTAACCTCTGATACACAGAGGGAAAAATGTTCAGCCGTATTCATGAGGGCCGTGTAGACTGAAGTCTGTCCTCTAGGGAATAAAGAAGGGTAGTTGCTATTTCTGTTGCCTCGGAGTTGTGACATTCCAAAGACAGAATTTGCTTCACACAGTTTTGTTTGTTTTTATTTTTTAAAGAATACAGAATAGTAATAACAGAACAGCATTAGAAAAGACACAAAATTTCACTAAGCAAAATGATAGGAATTCATAACAGTGGTTACTAAAGAAAGAAGGGAAAGGGCTAGGGAGATGGCTCAGTAGAATAAGCGCTACCCTGGCAAGCTGAAGGGCCTAGAAACTATAAATTTCTAGTTTCCTAGTAGCCAAGACAAGGAGAGAAATTATCA